TTCATTCGAAGAAGAAACGTATACGAATATTCTGCTCTTACAGAAAAGTTGTAAGTTGATTGGCTATTCGCATGGCTTTTAACCAATCGGCTTTCAACTTTTCTGTCAGAGTACAATTTTCGCATACGCTTCTCTATCGAATGAATTCAAGAATCCAGCCCTTGGTTCGTAGAAGCTGATAAATGGCTGCGTTTAGTAGACAAAAATGCTTTGCAATTGTTGTAAAAATCATGATTGGAGTGTGCTCTTAGATTCAACTCAACTTAAGAGTTTTACTACACTAGTAAAATTTAAGATTTTTGCAAGACTTGCAACAACAGTTGCAAAGCAGCTTTCTGCTAAACGCAGAACGCATTATTAATTACACTCTCGTCTATTCGTTTATGACTACATAATTTCGATACTTATTTCTTTATTGTTTTCTTTTATCTTATTTCCCTAGTAGCACAATATATTGGCGTAATATTGGAAAATAATGTAAATCTAGATCCCAAATATTGGTCCAATATTGTAAGATGGACGCCTTCTCTTATTTAAATATTCTTATTACGTTGTTAAATATTGGCCAATGCACTATCCAATATAAATCTAATAACATATAATTATTATCGTGTAATATTTACATTTATTCCGTGGCCAATATCGGTCAATGCATTTCTAATATCTAAAATCCAACATTGGCCCAATGTTTTGCCAATGCACTGTGCTACTAGGGTTCCCTAGTAGCACAATATATTGGCGCAATATTGGGAAATAATGTAAATCTAGTATTCCCAATATTGGTGCAATATTGTAACATGGACGTCTTCTCTTATTTCAATATTTCTATTTAGCTGAAATTGATATAACATTATATCAATATTGCTAAAGAGATATATATTTAAATAAGAGAAGACATCCATGTTACAATATTGAACCAATATTGGGAGCTAGATTTACATTATTTTCCCAATATTGCGCCAATATACAGGGTGTTATAAAAGTACCGGAACAGCAGAATACCTCGAAAACTGAGCCCAGCAGACAAATATGTTTCAAACAAAAGTTGTATGGTTTCGAGGGGGCCATAAGATGGTACCATTGGTTTGACCTTGAAGAATTATTTGAAGATCACATGAAGGTCACGCCAATTTTTTTAAATGGCATCCCCTATTTTTTATTACATATTCTTGTAGCTGACCTCGAGAGCTTTCCAAAACGCTATAAT